GTATGAGCCTACTTGTAATTAAAGGAATGCTATATTAATGATGCCGAAAGTCTCAGAGGAAAAAATTTAAACCCCACCTCATAATATTATGCCAGAATTACACGAGCAGAAGACTTTTTAATAATCTTTGTTTCTTAATTTAGTTTTGATTGGCTATGAAATACAGAGTAGCACTCAAGGGCTCAAATTTCTACCGTCATCAGCATTTCTGCTCTCTAAATTGTACAAATGCTCAGGACTCCCATCTGCAGGCTTCTTTTCAAGCTTCTGTTTAACCTGTGAAGGAAATTAGCTGCAGGCAACTATAATTGATGATAATTTCATCGTTTTTTTAGCCCTTGGGATGGGGGATGGTGTTACAATTTTCTGTTTGGGTTTAGACCTAGCTATTGTATTTTTATGTTGCCATTTGAACTGCAAACAAAATGTTGGTAACATAAATTCGTCTCTAGTTTGCAAATTACAGCAATAGCCACTAGGAGTCTCCTGGTTAAATTCATGATGAATTTGCACACTAATGCTGGCTAAGGTCTGAATGCAAACTCCATGCTAAAGGCTGGATTTCAGCAAAGGGAGCTAGCTAGTCCATGTTCAAGGTAGGTGTGACTGGGGTGATGGAACCCCTGAGCTGTGAGTAGCATCATGGGTTTCCTGATCCCTTTTACCAGTTGTATAAACAGCAAATGCCTTAGAAATAAAGAAACCAGAAGCCACCTACATGCTGTTCTTGTAGGGTCAAAGATGGTGACAGTCATGAGAAGTCAGATTTGTTTCTTTTTATGACTGCACAGAGTATTGTGGAATTTTAACAGGTGACAACAGAGAGGGAAGTAGATTTCACCGTTAGTTACTCCCAGGGATTTAAAGCAGATTTGTTTTGTAAACTGAAATGCTGCAAGCCACAAGAACTAGCATCACTAAGTACTTTAAAATTTGCTTACAGTATCTCTGCAATGTGAATCCCTCAGTTCTGAAAATCTAAATAGCTTCTTTCTCTTTTCTCTTCTCCTTCCTCTTCCTTCCCTCACCTTCCAGGCCAACTAAACACAAGTGTATGGTGCCAGACACACTCTTAGCAATGCCAAGTGCTCAAAGTTCATGAATTACAGACCTGAAGGAACGGTCACACTGGGTCAAACATTGTGACTGACAAAGGATGGCCAAATTTCCTCGGAAGAATACCACAGAAAGCAGACACGCACTGTCTGCCAGCATTTGTGCCTCACTCTAAACAACTAAAAATTGCTTTAAAACGTCCAGGGAAGCGAGAGGTGACCAGTCAACCCCTTCCACGGGGAGTTGGTTATCCTGGCAGGAGGAGTAGTACTTATTGTGCTAGGATGCTGTCACATCCTCCTTACAGACGTGTGCAACTCCATGTCTGTATACTGTTCACTGCTCTTAGCAGTGAACCACTTATTTGTTTATAAGTTTCTTTCATGTATCTCTTCTCTTGAGCAAAATCCTTTCCAAGCCGTAAAAACCCTGAGTGACTTAAAACATGATGAGATTTGAAACAAATAATAATTTGGAGGGCTATTTATTTGGCTTCTGCTTTTTGAGCTTCTTGGTTTCATTTCCAAACTTTTCCCTGCAACCAGAAGGACTAAGCAAATAAAGATGATGTTTTAAATGAAAGCTGAGAATCTCACATAATCATAGGACTCCAAGGGCTTGAGGTTTCAGAATAATCTCAAGAGCTGTCAGTACTGAATGTCACCAGAGACTTTAATGTAATTCCGAGAACAGACGCATAAAAGCAACTACGGGGTAGTTTTCCTGCTCCATGCTCCCCATAGTACCTACAAATGCTTTTCTGGAGGGACAATCCAAAGGTACCTGCAAGTCAAGTGGTGAGCTACCATGTGCTGGGTTTAGATGCCAACTAGGAGTGGTGAATTTTGCAACAAATCTACATATGCAAAACCCTGTTATTCAGTCTGTAAAACTCAGCAAGCTCATTAAGCAGAAATTCATAATGGACTGGGAGGATCATCTAATTCCATGGGGAATACGCAGAAATAAGTAGGAGGCAAATTTACCTGCCCATCTCCTCTGTATTGTATGCTTGTGCACATTGCAACACATGACTGCATTGTGTGTAATTGCAGACTACTATCATCTCCCTCTCACAGACTGCCTTAGATTCTACCATCATCTCCCAGCAGGACTTGGATGAACCTCTCAGTGTGGTTTGTTTCAAGGATATAATCTATCTATATCGAAGGTTGACAGAGATGTAACAGTGAGTACCTTAGTCCATATAGTCTGTGGTGAAGAGAGAACCTGATTATAGAACTGATATGGAAATAAAATAGAAGGCCGCCTTCAACCTTATCATCCAGCAGAAGCAGACTTGGCTGTTTGCTACCCTTTCTTATTGTTAGAATTAGCAGAAAGGATCCTGACCTTCACCAAGTCAGTGTTGACTTCAACAACAAAACAGTGGTACAGGTTTAGCAGGTAAATATCCAGTACTCACAACAAAAAACCCAAGCATTTGTGTAAGTCAGTTTGGCACTTCACCATGCTGAAAAGAAACCTTTGCATCTCTGTCACTTCAAATTTGGGATTTTTTAGCACAAGAACATGCCTAACATGAAAGCTCTCTTTTTTTTCCACTGCCCACCTTCTCCAAGTATGTCAATGCTATCTTCTTAACTCATTTTCTAAAGCTAAAAATGAACGCAAAAATAAAAGATCTCCTAAAAAATGCCGAAGGCATATGTAAAAGCTCAATTTGAAGGAAATGTCCAATTTCTACATGGAGCTATAATACAGACAGCCATGAAGCATTTTTAGGGATGAGAGTGCTCTGCTGTGGCCATGGACAGTACCTTGGGAATATCAAGTATTTCTGTCATTTTCATAATGTTTCAAGTAAGCCAAGCCATTACCAGTGTGTACCTAAATATAGTGTGTATATATAATATACAGCTATATTGGAAAAAAATGCAAGGGTTTATGATGTAGGAGTCAGTCACTCTAAACTCCCGTCACTAAATACACACCCTCATTGTGCGTGTTCTCTCTCCCTCTCCCCTGGTTGTTTCTCTTTCTCTACTTCTCCTGTGAGGATTCTTGTGCATCTTCTGCATCTCACAGGCTTAAGCTGGGAGGGAGCTACAGCTGTAACCTCAGGTCATTCCCAAGCAAACTTTCATCCTACATCACAACATTGGTGACCTTGCGAGGTCAAATGTTTTCAGGTCAAGTCCTGGCACCATTTTTAATACTTAATCAAAATGTCTTGTTTGGTTGGTTCATGTTTAAAATCATCGTTCTAACTAGAGAATGGACTGATAACAAAGGCCTTCAGAAACCTAAAGAATTACTTAAGAAAGGAATTGTTGCAATGTTTATCTGCACTAAAAGGAAGAAACAAGGTTTGCTGGACAGTTTTGGGGTTTTTTTTCATTAGAATAACAACTTTTCAAACTACATAATGAGTTTAGTAAACATCACGGAGGGCTAAATCACAGCTATTACTATTCAGAGGGAGAAAATATATTTCAAGATGAAGAAAAAAGAAAAGATGATATTATGTGGGGCACATGGCTTTTATTTGTTTTTAAACAGTGGCTGCTTGAAACTGCTTGGAGGTTTAGAGTGTCAAAGCCATGTCAGCAGAGATGGATTAGTGGGCAGAGAGCAAGTGGTGCAGTCAAAGGTTCATAGTGAATGTAATTTATTCATGTAGCTCCGCAATTTATCACGTGGCTATTACCATAATGTATGTGGGAAGCAGCTGCACGCGTGCAAATAATGCCCTAAATGGATGTGTGGTTGGATCTGAACTCCTTACAGAACAGTAGTGGTGGAAAATGATGCCACAAGGCATTTAAAAGCAAATTTCCTTCCTGCGGGGATGCTGTCACCCAGCAGTGATGATTTGTACACAGGCAAGTAGGTATCTTGTAGACTCTTCTCAGTTATCATAACCTCACTTACCAGAACTCATTGGTTTTTCAAATCTAAATTACGTAGGTAATGTGATGTAGGTTTCTGGTGCTGTATTAAGAGATGTAAGTACATATGCTTTGTATCTCAGACTCATATTTTCTAGTCAAAGAATACTGTATTTTCCACTCAATATTTAACAGAAATATTCAGTGGCAAATAAAATGAATCCTCCAAGTTTGTGAGGAGAAAGAAGTTGAAGATCTCCTTTAACTCAAATGACCTCTCACAGCATGATTTGTCAAACACTTGGGAGCAGCACAGCTGTAAAAGACTGATATACATATATATATAGATAGATAGCATGTGTCTGGTTTCTCATACCTGTACAATCATTTACCACGCCAAACATATCCAAATCCAGTCTCTAATTTTAGGACCATCTAAAATAAGGAGCTTGACTTTGGTCTCTTTTAATTTGCTGGAATGCCTACAGTTTCAGTTAAGAAGAAAGCTGTGAGTAGATGGTGGAGCTGGCCCCCCCTTGCAGGGGTTTTTTGCTGCATTGTTCATGTGCACAGGTATGGACCTGCTGCATGCAGCACCAAGCCTCTAGCAGTGCTGCCTGTGGCTGCGTGGGGTAGCTGGAGAAACTACTAGCTCAGCTCCTACCGTCACTTTTAAGCTTCAGCAATTTTCAATTGGTCTCATTGTTTGGAAATTATGCTTAATTATACCGTGCTATGATGCTCTAAACTGATTGCATCAGAATCAGTTCACTCAAGTCATTCTTGATCCAGGCAAAGACCACCCCAGTTATGGGTTAGCGCACTAGGAGTTTTATGCTGCTTTTGATACATTAAAATTGACCTAGAGAGACACTGAATTCAGGAAAAGTCAAGGTAGGTACTTGTAAGCAGAACACCTCATTGCCCAGCTTAATGTACCGCTCAGCATTTTGTTCAGCAGAACTTCTCACATTTTGGAATATGATGCAGATTTTCTTGGATAATTTCATGTGTGCTCTGGGGCTTCCATTTTGAAGCCATTTATCACAAATATCCACCCACTAATTATGCAAAATGAAAAGCTTGCCTTACCATTGCACAGAAGGTCTCAGGAGGATCTCCACATGTTATGTCTGGGGGATCCAGAGTCACTTTTACATATTTGATCATGTCTCTGGCTTCTGGCTGGCAGGCCATATAATCCCACACTTTTCCTTCTTCTGTGTAAATCTGAGTCTTACACACGTCATAGTGTCCCCACACAGAAGGGTAGTGCTGCATCATGGAGGACACAGTAACCCAGAGGGCGTGAAGTGACAGGAATCTTGACAAATACATTTCTAAATCCTTTTATGTCACTGTCGCAAGGATGCTTAGTGCTGGCTTATGTGCAGTCTATAGATTATACGTACATACACGTGTATATATTTATAAAATAGATTCCAACTCAAACATGAAGCATTAGGATAGGATGTCTATTTCACAATGTTAAAGACTTTGGTAGAAGCCACCCAGGCCCTGATGACAGCCTTTCACAGCAACACAGCGCTTGTCCTTTGTCTTATAACTTATCTGTCAGGCTTCTTGTAAAAGATGTCCAATAGCAGATAATAATTTGTGAAGTTGCAGGTCTTCAGCTACACTGTCGATAACCCTGAGTGATCCTCCGTGTTCAGGGCTCGCAGGGGATGCCCAGACACACTGATAAATCAGTATCCGAAGCAAAAGGATGAGTGTCTACAGGCTGGTGTCTGTTTCCCATCAATCATTCTTTTCTTCTGGCACCAGCACCCTTTTGGAAACAATAAAAATTAGAGTTATTGTCCAAGAATCGATTTATTACAAAATATACGATATGTTGACATTTTGGAGGTTTGATACAATATAAAGTAAATGGGTATAATATGGATAACCTTTACTGTGGGTGCTGTGCTACAATGAACAAACTACCAAAATCATTCTCGGTGAAAAGTATTTTGACATGAAAGGTTTAACTCTACTCTAACAAAGACAAATTTACAATGTTCCAGGTGATTTAGAGGTTCCTGCTTCGGAAACTGTATTTTCACCCTAGCAAAACGGGAGAGCAAACTACTGCACTGAACCATTTCCCAGATGGTGCAGGCAGGCAGGGGAGCAGGCAGCCCAGCACTGTGGGGCAGCAGCAGGAAGGTTCTTTTTTTAAAGTGACACAGAGGTGGGTATCAGGACTACCAGATGCTGATAGTTTCTTGGCCAAAGGACCTCAATGAGCTCCAAAAGCCTTACACATTCCTTAGATTTTTTTTTTTTTTGTAAGAATAACAAAAATATGGAAAGCACAGATCAATTTCCTTGAAATTTCTCATTTGGTTTTGAAGAGCTTTGCTCATCTTTTTTTTTCCTTTGAATTGTGATTTACTGACCACGCTGATGACAAACTACTGATAATGGTTTATTTGTAGCTTATTATAGGGATGCTTTTCCCCTCTTATTTTCTTAGGTTTAAGTGTGCCTGTACCTGAGTACTCAGCAATTATTTCACAGCAGATATATGCCCTTTCCTCTCTTCAGAAAACAAATAGCAATCCTCTCAGTTACACTATTACAGGTATAAAATGCTATATACAACTATCTAACTACATACTAACTAAATACTATATACTATAGCTATACACTAACTATATAATGCTAATATATATGTGTTAAAAAATACAAATTATGTACAAGGGAAATGTAAGACAGAGTAAATGAAAGACAGAGTAAGCACCCTAACATGGACAAGGAAAATCAGGACTAGGAACTCCAAGCATTTCCCTGAGGCTGTGCCTGGTGCCAGCCCGGGCCACCAGAGGATGGGCAGCCAGGGCACTGGACTCTTGGCAGGATGAGCATTTCAGCCAACAGCCACAGCACCTCCACAGTTCCTTTGTCTGGATGCAAAGATCTAAGCAAACCCATCAGACAGATGTTAAGCAACAATCGCAAGTCACCTCTTTCTGCAGCCTGTTTTGCTTCCCAGTTTTAAATTATGCCCAATGTCGTGAACCTTCCTATACCCCAAAAAACACGGGAAGCAGTTTGTGATCTGGTAAGCTCCTTAGCATGTCACGTTGGTAGTCTGCATTTTCAAAACTTATCTTCAAAGCTATTTGCAAGCAGCCTCCCTATATTTAAATAATGCTTCATCTTAAACTGAGCTAAACTACAGACACCATGAAATGCCAACAGATGGTTGAATTGTGTTTCCATAGCAAAGTAATTTACAATAATTGCCGTATGGACGTAAATGCAATTTTCCATTATACTCATTTTATCAAGTGTTACCATACAACTCTCATGTATTTTATCAGAATACGCGGCAAATATCTGAATTTTCATGCAATAATCATTCTCAATTAGTTCAAACCCATTTAAGCGTCAAATCTGAATTTGACACAAAAGCAGAAATATCTAAGACCAAATTAAAATTAAATCTTTTTAAGGAGCACACGGTGTAGTACCATTGTTTTTGTAGGAACCTTAGACTAGTTTTTTTGTTTTCAGTGGGAGTGTTTACTTATTGTTTTGGAATTCAGTAATTCAGAGTACACTTTCCATGTCACTCTAAAGACACCTCATACTCTTCCCCTCTGGTCCTTTCCAATGTATTTTATTATTTTTAAGGGGAAAAAAAACCATCCCCAAGACTCCATAGCTTAGAACAGTCATTATAAAAAAGGGAAAAAACTACTCTGCTGAAAAAAGGAGCTAAATTATTTTAAATTTATGGCAAATAAAATACTCTGTATTGGACAAGGCTTGGTCATAGCTGGAACAAACAGTAAGTAAATATTTTTTTTGGTGTAGAAATAAGAAGTTACTGAGTTTAATTATCCTTAGACTACAAGTTTACATATTTAGGAAAAAACAAACAAATAAACAAAAAACAAAAACAAACAAACAAAAAAAAAAAAAAAAAAAAAAAAAAAAAAAAAAAAAAAAAAAAAAAAAAAAAAAAAAAAAAAAAAAAAAAAAAAAGAAAAAAAGTTTGTTTAATATCTTCCTTGCTAGCTCCTCAGTTACCCATAACCTTTTATAACTACTGAGACCCAGATCCACTAATAAACAGGACTGGTTAAGACTAAATAAAGCGAAGCAAGCCACTACCTTAACACACTGTGCTAAAATACTTCCCATATAACGAATTCTCATTAAAGTAAGCCAGTCATAATGATGGTCGTTACACAGAATTATAGACTATAACATCGATTGAATGTAGTGTACTGACAAGGAAAAAACTGCAGAGGAGTGCAAGACATCTGAGCATTAAGCAGCTGTAGCAGTGTACGACAGACATTCCTGACAAGAAGCAGCCAATTATAGCTTAAATTTCTGGCATATAACCAGTTCTGATTAATAGTTTTCCATTACATTACTGACATATTATTAATGTATTAAAAATGTCAAGCTTTGGCAAGAACTAGTACGGCATGGCTCAGTTAGTCTGCAATATCTTCTTCTAATGAGCTTCCATTGATACAAAGAGAGATATTGACCAAAGCACATTAAGGATCATGTGCTGAGCTATACAATTTGTCTTGCTTATATTTATTCTTGCAGAGTCACTCACAATATGCATTCTACATTTTGGTGCTCTATTGCTAAGGACATAACTATTTGATTTATTCTGAAAAAAAAAAAAAAAAAAGGTTTAGAATAACGTTTCTGAAGTTTGCAGCTGTACCAGTTGCGTAGTCCTAAGCCTCTAGCTGTGGGCAACACAAAGCAATGTCGTTTTTTTGCCCCCAGTAATGCCTGTGCATCTGACCTTCCAAAAAGGTAATCAAACAAATCAGGAGTAACTAATGCCCTAATCCCCTCCACCCTGCAGTGCTTTGCTAGTTGCACACCCTGGGTGTTGGGGGGGGCCATGGAGGTGACAAAGAGGGATCAGCTTCCTTGCAGACTGAGAGCGAGGGAATGGCAAACTGCTGGAAGGACTTTAGCTAATGTATGCAAAGCTTCCAGTGCATAACGCTCCTGGAGATCTCCTTTGTGGAGCAACAGCAGTATGAACTGCAGGACGTTTTGGGCCTTGAACATTCCCATGTGCCAAAGCCTCTGCAATATGGAAAACACTGGGAGGCACCTGGGAGGCAACGGTGCAGAAGGCCACATCTGCTGCCTCTACATTCCCCTCTGAGCGCTGCTCCATCTGGGAAGTGCTGGGTGTTCTGGCCACAGTGAGTATGTTACAGCCGTTTGAGAAAGAACAGCATGCAACTCACCCCCAGACCAAAATCTGCTGTGAGGGAGCTCTGAGCACAACCATCCCTTTCCAGGTGGGGAAGTTGTACCTCGCATAGCATATTAATCCTAACCATCGAGCACATACCCGCTCCATAGAACAGATAAAATATATCTTGGCAGAATCAGAGCCAGTGAAGAACTTCAGATCTCGTCAAGTATTGTTAGCTAACACTCCTCCTCTGCCTCCTTCCCTCACAGTGAAAATCCACCCCCTTCCCCAAATAACTCCGCAAACCACATCAGCTGGATGCCCTGCACGAGCTCCCTGTTGGGAAGTCACTGTGCAATCCATAGGGATAGGCTCCGGGCCTTCCTCTTTGGCAAACTGCAGGTATGGAGGTAATAAAATAACGAGCCATCACCTCTCAAACCGACCGTGCACCCTGCCGCCACACATGAGTAGGAATGAGAGCCAAACCCAGTGATTACAGTGCACGGCAGCCTGAGGAGAACTAACATAATGAAGGCATGCAAGGAGTGCTGGCTGTCACCTCCCAGCACCGGCAGCTGCAGAACAGATTTTTCCAAAAGGAAACGTTTCAAGTTTGTATCTCTCAAACCTTCACCAGATGAATTTATCCAACAAGCCCAAGTAAAAAGCTCCTTTGTGTCCACTCTGGATATTAATTATTTAAAGTTAGTTTAGAACAGAAGAAATAATGCATATTACAAAACAGAACTAGCCCTCATGCAACTTACATTTCATAAACCTCAAGTGTTTGAGAACCTGGTACTTATTCAAACTGACCCCTTTTATAAATGCAAAATCATTCCTCTATGCAAAGAAGGAGGGCACCTATATTTAACAATTTAATATACATTATTTCTGTCAATACTTGTATGAAATGCAACACACTCAAACAATTGCTTTGGTGTCTTCGGACTCAAATGCTGCTCCAAACAAAGTTTATGCTCTATTCTTATCTAGCTTATTTAACTATTTAGCAGAGAAAAATTTCTTTGCCTCAGGAGAAATTTAAAATGTCAATACCTATTGTCTGAAGAAAATTAAATACAGCATTCTGCTACCAAAAAACTGGGGTTTGGCACTATATTTGAAATACTTCTGGTTTTCCCACGTTATTTTTTGCTGTGTGACACATCATACTACCGCTGCTATTACTTGCCAGGTATCATCAGCTGTCAGCATATGGAGTAAATAGCACTTCAGCTATTTAAGTTTTAGAGCCTTAGTATGTAGCTGCTTTTTTTCCCTCTAGAATCTTTATAATGGGGGCTTACTGTCTTAAATATCTCTGTACCTAACATCAATCTGTTTTGCAAGTATTTCCTCTGGGAATTTAAGTTAGCATTTGGAGCAGTTAGCTTCCTTTTTTTTTATTTCTTTTTTTTTTTTTTAATATATACCCTCAATAAGGTAATACATGCTCCTCACACAGTGTATCCAGGGTACAAGGGCTACCAAGCCTTCAAGTTAGGGTGTGAACTGGTGACTTTCTAACTGAAAGTTCTTAGCCTCAAAAACGAATGCCTACCGGTCGCTGAATTTGTTCTGTGCTATTGCTATATTTTACATACATAGCTAGAAAGTTGGTGCCGCTTCTTATTATTGTCAGAGGGCTGAGGGTCGATGGCAAAGTTTAGAACTCCATCCAGCTATCGCCACTAACTGCTGGAAACTCTCTGGTGATCATTCTTTCAAGGTCCAAAAATATGCCAGAAATTAAAATTTATTTGTTTTCCACACATGAAACCCAAATGAAAACAAAACAACCACACAACAACAGCAAAAAACCCTAAACAAATAATAATAAAAAAAAAACAAGCCAGGGGAAGCTCTGCTGTGGTTTTATTCCCTTTGACGGGCTTCCCAGGCCACAGCTGCTCATCCTCAACCGCATTGTCCCTAGGCAAGACAGTGATTTATTCCCTCTTTAAAAGCATCTCCACGGCTTGTTCCACTCACTGTCTCCGATAACATCTCTGCAGAAGTGAGGCTGGCTCCTACCACATCAATTGCGAAATATTGAAAAGTTGATTGCAGAACAATAAAAGTATATTCAGCAGAGGCCAAAAACGCAAATAGACCAACTTTGAGAGTACAAAAGCATCTGTTTTATCGGGTTCAGCCGATCTGCGCTGCTCACCGCCATGCGGGGTTTCTTTGGGGGCTCTGTGTGCATATGAATGTTTAGGAAAGCCGGCTGCAGTTTCCGATGCAAGGGAGTAACTGTTTCCAGGCTGAGCACCAGGGACTTGCCCGCCGCTCCTCGCCGGCGGGGCAATGCCCCGCGCCGCCGCCCCCGCCTTCAGCGCGCCGGGACCGCCGCTCCCCTCGGCCCCGCGCGAGTCAATCCGCGCTGCGGGGGCGGGCGCGCCCCTCCCTCAGGGCTCGCGCTCCCCCCTCAGGGCTCTCCCGCCGCCCGCGACCTTCCAAAGCCCGGACTGGTCCGGGCTCCGGCTCCGGCGGAGGAGGCACCGCGCAGGTACCGCCCCGAGCATCCCCGGCCCCCGCCGCGCTCCGCTCCGCGCGGGCGGCAGGGGGCGCGCGGCCCGCGCCGATGCGCCCTCGGCCGGCGGCCGGAGGCCGGCGGGGGGACCCTGCACACACCCCCGGCACACGCACCGGCCCCTCCGCGCCGCCCGCCCGCCCCATCGCGCCCCGGAGCGGCGGGCGGGCGGTACTCACCCTGCGAGCTCGGGCTGTCCGAGCCTCACCGCGGGGCGGCGCGGAGCCGCCGCGGCGCCGGGACGCGCTGGGGCTCCCTCGGCGGCGGCATGAGGGGCCGCGGGGCGGGCGGGGCGGGGGTGTTCCTCCCCGGCAAAGTTACCGGCGGGTCGCGGCGGGGCTCGGTGGGGCCGCCGCTGGCCCCGGGCACTTGTCGGCGTCGAAGTTTGGCGGGGCGCGGGCGGCGCGCGGCGGGCGGGCGGGCGGGCGGGCGGCCGCACTCCTCCGGCGCTCGGCGGGGCGGCGGGCGGGCGATGCCCGCCGGGGCTCCCCGCCCGCCACCGCCGCTCAGGGCGGGGGCGGCCCCGCTCGGGGCGCTGGCGGCCGCGGCATGAGGCGCGGGGCGAGCGGAGCGCACCCCTGGCCGGGGCTGCGGCGCAGAGGTCTCGGGTGGCGCGGCCAAACTTCGAGGGGCGGCGGCGGCAGCGCCTCCTCACTTCGGAGCGACCTCCCCGCGACTGCCGGCGAGCGGGGCGGCGGCAGCTACCCCACCTCCGGGCCCGCGCTACGCGCGGCCCTAGCGCCGCCGCCGCGCCCGCCCCCCCGCCGCCGCGCTCCCCGCCCCGCCGCCCCCGCGGGCGGACCGCCGGCGCCGCCTGCCCCGCGGGGGGGCAGGGGACAGGACCCACCGCCCCGGCCCGAGCCGGAGCTGCCCAGGGGCCGGCGGCGCTGCGGCTGCTCCCTTCGCTTTAATTTTCCCCTTCTATTTCGTCTTCAGCCTGGTAGCTCACGGGCGGAGATGCTGTCAGTGCTGCTGCCGTCCGAGCGCCGAGCCCGGTGTGCTGACCCCAGCGCACTGGTGCTTAGAACGCGGGAACAGGGCAGCGTCCCGTCCGCCTCGCCGGAGGGTCCCTCCGCAGTGCTGGGCGCGCCGGGGAAGCGCCGGTTCGTCCTGTGCCCGTAGCACCGAAGTGCCACCGAAACAGGGAGGGAGAGCGACTTGGGCTGTTCTGGTGTTGCCGTGACCGCCCGCCCCGTACCAGCCCTTCCGAGCTCCCGAAAGACGTGGAAACTCCGGCCCCGCGTTCTGCTGTGCTACCCGGTTCCCTCCTGCACGTCCTCTACTTCTGTCGCTTAAACGAGAAGCACACACACTTCTTCCTTTCATATTTGCCCAAGCTACAAAACAGTATCTAAAACTAATAAGGACTATTGAGTCCCGTGTAGGAATTGTGCTTACTCCTGGCAACTACCTGCTACTGAATTTGACCGACTGCAGGTGCCCAGGAGCGCTGGGCAATGGGATACTGGCTGCATTGTGAACGCTCAGGAGCCGAGTTGATCATTTGTTTGCGTGTTTTGCATGTTAAGAGGTGTTAAATGTGTTTATGTAGGCAACAGTGCCATTGTATTTTGTTGACAAAATTTTACGTTTACAGTGCCAGTAGATAACCAGCTGAAATGAGGCGGGGGATTTTTGGTAGAGTAAGAGATTTGTTCTCCATTTGAGCCGTGGAATTTGGTAGGTTGTGTAAATAACTGGCAGAAGCCATTAGGAAAGACATTTTAATTCTTTCTCCTGTGCCAGCTAAAGCAGCAAAGTAAAAAAGATACGTCCTAGTTCCTCTCAGCTTTTGTTTCCTTCTGTGAGCAGTGGTGTTGTTTTCCCATTTTTTGTTCGTTCTCTGGAATCTTTGTGGCTGTCTTAATGAAGGTACCACATACGTGGAAAAGTTTTTTGTGTGGGAAAGCCAGGAATGATCAAAGAGGTGGGAAAATTCAGCTTCAGGGATTTTCAGCCCCCATAGTAGTTCTTGCTTTGTTTGCAGCCTTCTGCTCCCTGAGGTGGTTCAAAAGGGTAGAAGATGGAAATCAGTAATTTTTTCATTCCACTTGAACTGGAATGTGTCAGGCATCGAGGCTCCGTAGGGCCTTTTGTAAAGAAGAGGGGCAGAGTTTCACTGCAGTTGGAAGAAAAGGGTTGTTTTCCTAATTACAAGACAGATGGAGGGCTGTACAGCAGAGTGCAAGAGACTGTACGCACTGAGCCAAGTCCCTGCAGTGGCACGTGTGGATGGACCAGCTCCATTGCCCGTGACAGCTGTGGGGTTTCTCTGCCTTGGAGGTGCTCCACGTGTGGTGGTTTTGTCTGGCTGTGGGCCAGGCTGGATGGGCTGTTTGCAGGTGCTGCAAGGTGAATAGTGTGAGAGCACTGGAGGAGTGCTCTCTTGCTTTAGACCTGAACTGGGAGAGGATAAGTCCTTTCCATGTGTGGAGAGCGTAGGTTTTCATGTCCCAATAATACCAGTGGCAATGGTGTACTTGGTGGAGGGCAGAGCTGAGGGTACCATTCACACCTACCCTGCACCTTGTGCTGCTCAAGGCACATGCCCTAAACCTCACCTACAGAGCTGTGCTGGAAGTTTTCTCTCCTCCACGCAGCCCCTTTGGCCTCTGCTGAGACCATTACTTGGCTGGTGGAACTGGCTGGCCACAAAGATTAAAGGCAGAACTGCGTCATCTGATATGCCAAACATCATTAAGTTCTTCATGCTAATGAGCCTCTTCTGTATCAAAGCTAGAGCAGCTGGTTTGAGTGCAATGTCACCAAGTCTGAGATTAGATGTGCCCTGCTGGTAAAAATGATGGCAAAAAATCAGATCCACTCTGAGAATGTGGCCAAATTCACAGCGAAATTTTGAACTCACGAGAAAAAAGGGATCTGATTTAAATTCTTTGTCAAAGGATGGAAAAGCAGATGGAATTCAGCAGCCAGAGAAGACTTGTCTGTGTTGTTTTTATTCTTGTTAGAGTCATAAGATGGAGTTAAATGGGGAAAGGACGATGCTTTTATAACCAAACTGAAAATATTGCACCCATGCCTGTATTGAATTTCTGACAGATCCTTTAGTAGTGAGTAACGATTGTTGACATGTAAATGGACTGGGTAACTCGCTGTCACAGCACCTTGAGGCTGGACTTTAGTAGGATTCCTAAAGAAGATTTGGTATGTAGACAGAAGATAAGATTAACTAAAGTTTGAAAGGAATATTTGAAAACATACAGACCACTGCAGGTCCCACTGTCTGCCTTACAGGATTGGAAATTGACCAAAGTGAAGATTTAGACAGTTGCTAAATACCAAAGGATGGAAAGTCACAACACTGGGAAAGTGTTATCTTGAAAGTGCTTCCAGCAGTATTTCTTATGTCTTCTCAGTAATAGCTGGCATTGGCCCCTAACAGAATCAGGGAAAAGGATTAATTTTTGATTACTGGCCTGAACATGGGAACACCTATGACTATTAGGACACTCCTTGCTACAAGGCATAATTTATACTGGAAGCAGCATAAATTGCTGGTTCAGAAGTGATATCGCTGATTGCAAACTTTTCTGTGAAACATCATCTGAACTGCAAGTTTTTAACCACGTCCTAAATCTAAACAAGCTTTGCATGATTTCAAGCTGTGGTTTGGCTATTTAGTGCATCCCCTCATGTGCTGTTATGAATCTTTTATTACCTGCTCTAGTCCGAGTTGACCTCTAATGATACAGCAGAATTATTTTATTAATGCGTTCCCCACAGCAGAGGACTGCTGCACTGGGCAGTAGCAGAGTACCTGGCTTTGCCTGAAGTAGTAAGTGTCCCTGGAAATGTATCCAAAGACACTATGAGCTTCCCTGCTGAAGTCCAGTGCTTCAGCATAGTGGTATCTGGGGCCCAAAGTGAAATGTGCAGATGTGATGTGATGCAGCAGCTGTGGCCTGATCTCTAAACAGAGAGGCTGATCATGCGTGGGGCCGCTGCCCTGGCAGGGCAGAGGAGAGGAGGCAGTGAATGCAGATGGTGGGGGCTGAGTGGCATCAGGGAAGGTCCTGCTGTGCAGAGGGTGGATTGGTGCTCCTGTAGAGCACTGCCTGCTCCATGTGCTGCTCTGCTCCTCCATCACACTGCATACCTATTTCTGACCTCTTTTGCTGCCAGCTGAAGGAGGTTTTGTGAAGCAGCAGGCAAAAGGTGTGGGAGACGAGAAAAAGGGTAGTGCTAATTTGCCCCTGCCTCCCCCGCTAAGCTGAGTCAGGGGTAGAAATGCCAAGAAACAGCATATTCTCCCAGAGGCAGAGCTTGTCCACTTTATTGCTGTGTTGCCCATGGTAGTTTAACCTTCTGTAAAGTCAATTTGTTGGCTAGAATTTGAATTTTGGTCTGGGCTTCCACCTTTAGTGCCTCCAGCGTGTCATTTTACAGGAGCATGACTGGAAAACTGTATTGAGATAAATGACAAAACCAAAAGGTTTCTGCATTAGAGTTGGAGTTGTTCAACTTGGAAAAGAGAAGACTCTGGAAATACTTGATAGCCCCTTCCAGTATCTAAAGGAGGCTAGTAAGAGAGCTGGAGAGGGACTTTTTGCAAGGGCATTTAGTGATAGGACAAGGGGGAATGGCTTTAAACTGAAAGGGGTAGGTTTAGATCGGATATTAGGAAGAAATCCTTTACTCTGTGTGGATGGTGAGGCACTGGAACAGGTTGCCCAGAGAAGTTCTGGATGTCCCATTCCTGGAAGTGTTCAAGGCAGGGTGGGATGGGTCTTTGAGCAATCTGGTTTAGTGGAATGTGTCTCTGCCTATGGCAGGGGGTTTGGAATTACATGAGCTTTAAGGTCCCTTCTAACCCAGACCATCCTATGATTTGTGCAAGCAGGGAGACAAATCCTGACTCTGTTTAATGAAGCAGTGAAAACACAGATATCTCTAAGCAGTGTTTTGACACTGCTTAAGCTTCAGCGCAGCTCAAGGGTATGGAACAAAGAGGCTACTGAAAAAGATGCCATCCCTCACTGTGAAATCTCCATCATAGTGCAGTTTCCAAGAGGTTTTCTCTGAGCAGGATGGATGACAGAAGAAACATACTGGCAGCTACTGGTGCCTTGTCCAGAGCAGGGCTTCCATCACAGCTCTCTGCACAGAGTGGACCCAGCGAGCAGCACTGAGAAGTTTTAATGGAAAAGGCCGGTGGAGGCACGCCTCTGAGTAAGGTAATCTGGGCAGCCAGCTGGGAGTATGATGTTACACTGATGCACACTACATAAAGAAATATGCCAGTCTGACTCCTGCCTCCATTTCC